AATCAAGATGAGAGACAAATGGAAAAAAAAAATCAAAACACAAATGTTTCTCGTTTTCCCATGATTCATTCCCCTTTACAATGGCTTGCCGCAAAGTTTGTAATTCTCTAGAATTTCGTAAAGATTGCAAACGATAGCCTTCTCGTGAAGTAGAGTTAAAAAATGCAATTGATATTCCAAACACTTATTGGCTTCAAATGTCACAAACATAGTTTTTGTTGTCGCCTTATGCCATATTTGGAGTAAAAGTTGCTTGTCTCAGCAGCTGTGGTATTTGCTACCATTTCCATTGTCTTTGTTTTCTAAACAAGGAACACTATTTTTCTAGCTTTAATTGTGGTTAATTTCTTATTGTGTAACGGTATTGCCATAAAAGCCATGGCCAAGCAAGAAGTTAATGCTATTGACCCAGTTTTGTTGAGCCAAAGACAAACAAAAGATGTTTGGCTATGAAATGGAAAACATTTTGAAAATGTCTAGACTCCAATGCACCAAATATGGAACCGTCAAAATATTTGAATTTAAAATAATATTTATTTTGTTTCCTCAGATTGTCAAAGAAATGGGGAAAAGTTCTGCTTACTTCCTACGAAGTTTTACCAATGTTGGTCAATTTATTTAAAGTAACTTGGCCTTTGGGTCAAAAGTTTTTCTTTATTAAAATTCACAACATATTACTGTCATTTTATGTTGGTTTAGCCGCTGTTGTTTTTTGGTTTTGTGTTCAATTTCCTAATTCGTATTTTTTCCACTTCCATTTGCATTTGTTTGACATTGTATTGATTTATGGTTAAATATGCTGTTGCCATACTTTTTTTTGTTTTGTTGTATATTGACAAAGTGTTTATGGCTGGCTTATATATTTTTTTATAAAAAAAATGCTTGATGTATTTATTTAGGTTTTATATTCATGCATTTTTTGTGGTTAGCAATTAATTTGCCATAGTCAAATATTTGCTAAAAATCCCATAATTTTATAGTTTTTCTTTTTTTTCCGAAATTCCTTATCTATTTGTCAAATCTATATAAATCATTTGTTTTTAATTGAAATTTGAATGTTGAAAATTGCAGTCGGAGTGATGCTATTAAATGCCATAAAATCCATCAAATAAATCGCTTTTAATTGGTTATTGGCAAAAATTCCAAAAAGAAAACAAAACTCCAAGCAATATTGTATATTATTTTTCCAAAGAAAAATAAACGCTACATCAATATTGAAATCGATTTGTGTTATTAAATGTAAAGTTTTTCTTAATTGCTATTGTAATTCGTTGAAATAAACAAAATTCACTCATTTTACACTGTGTGTTTACATATGGCATGTATTATGCCACTTACGTAGAGATACGTTACGTTTACAAATAACTAATAACTGTGGCACTCACTAAGCGGCAAGTAGAATAACATGAGAAGAGAAGATAAGAGGATCGTCAGTGATGCCAATATCGTGATTTTCACCAACTCGTACTATTGCCAATGACAGTAATTAAAATTCAAATAAAACAACGGAAAATGGAAAGAGAAAAGAGAGAGCTGGTCGGAGATGAAGTAAAAATATAACCAGTAATGCCAACTATGTGATTTTGCAACCTGAGTGTGATGCTGAAAACATAAACGTTTAACCATTAACATAGAGTTGCCAACTGAATTAAAACATTTAATCGGCAAAAAAGGAAGAATATTATACATGTTACCACATTTTTCAAATAAGCTTCAATGAGACAAAACGAAAATGAAAAGAGAAAGGATGAGTTGATTAGAGATGAGGACAGCATATAACCAGTGATGCCAACTATGTGATTTTGCAACCTGATGCTGAAAACATAAACGTTTAACCATTAACGTAGAGTTGCCATCTACAATTAAAACATATAATCTGTAAAAAAGGAAGAATATTATACATGTTGCCACATTTTTTAAATACGCTTCAATGGAACCAACCGAAAATGAAAAGAGAAAAGACGAGTTGATTAACAGTATATAACCAGTGATGACAATTTTGTGATTTGACATCCTGATCTTGTTGCTGAAAAGACAAACGTAAAAACTCTTTACCCTGAAGACAGCGTTGCCAACTACAATTGAACGATACAAACGACTAAAGAGGAGGAAAAATAAATGTTGACACAGCTTTTCTTCTTATTTTTGATTAGAACTTCATATTAAACAAAAGTTATGGCGTTTACACAAAGAACACATGTAAATTACGACTTAAAATAAAACAACATCTTTATGAAATTGAAGCCTTCATAAAATTATTTATTTGGGAATTTTAGCATTTCCAAATAATGTTAATTTTTTAGTACTTTTGGTCATGAATACAAATAATAAAACAATTTTATATAGGCATAAAAAACGAAAACCCATTAAATTTGGATAACCCTAATTCTTTTGTAGAATTTACACAAACTAGCAAGAATCTTATACATGTTTGACTATTTCTTATAATGTTTACTAATGGAATTAGTACACACGATATAACAAATTTTACACAAAAAACTAGAAGTTATTGGCTACCGTAAAGAATTCCATACCACAATACAAAAATTAATTAAAATTCAATACATGTCGCCTTATACTTATACTGCTGCTCCCCACAATGGGAAGCCCAAGTCTGTGCTTGCTGCCACACAGCCTTTATAAATAATTTTTGTTGTTACTTTTGAAATGAAACGAAAAAAAGACCAATTCATTTTTTTTTGGCCATAATAGAAGTATTGTCGGGGAGAAAAACAATTGGCACAAATAACATGGAAACTTAAACGAACAACAATGGAGCAAAAAAACATTAACAAATGTACATATTATTGGATTAGCTTTTATGTGTTGGAAGAGGGAATGGGGGGAGAAACATGGGCTAGCTGGCAGAGTTGCTTTTGATTATGGCGATTGAAAACCATGAATTGGCTGAAATTTATTTAACCATAATTGAAAGCCCATTTATATGGCCACACCTAAACCCCGCCACCACCACTATGGATGGTATTGGATTTGTATTAAACTAATGTATATTCGGTTGAATGTCGAAGTTTAGCGGTCAAAGGTTAAAAGCAGAGCCCACAATTTAATTATGATATACACTTTACGATTTTCGCCCTTTGTTGTTGTTGTTGTTTTTGCTACTGCCAATACTAAATTGTTTGCGGCAACAAATATTACTTTTAATTAAATTATAATATTCTGGTGGGGAATATCCACAGACATACTGAAATAGAGATGCAGATATGATAAGTTGGCAAAATATGGCCAGAAAGTCACAAATTATTCATAAATGAAATATTTGGTGTTTTTGGCTTGGAATTTAAAATCATTTGATTTTTTTTTTAATTACAAGAAATATTTCTCATTTGGCATCCCTATTACCGACAAGGCAGGCCCAGCATACAAAAAGTGAACATTTGAAGCTCAGCGAATCTATATTTAATTATGGATTTAAAGTGGTCTGGAATATATTGACCATTACCACAAAAACAACAACTCAGCTGCAACGCCAACGAGTGTTTTTCAATGTTACGAATGTTTTTGTGTGTTTCTAATTTCATAATTATAGTAATTTAATAAAAATTGCCTTTTTCATCAGCATACTACTGTTGCCGCTGCTTCTATTAAATTTTATTTATATGCAAATTATTTTCCATGTATTTCTTTCAAGCATGTGTTGTATATATTTTTTTATTATTTTAATATTGACCAATATTTTTAACACACATATCAATAGAACAATAGTCTCTTGTTGTGTTAACATCTTTGGCTCCTCATTGTTATGAAAAAATGTTTATATTTTTAATCGGTTTTTGTCAACTGTGCAGTATTGTATTGGATATTATGTCAGATTTTATGAATAACTCATTATTTGAAAAAAAAAGAACCGCATTGGATGAGATAAAAACATATATTTCAAGGTTTTGTTGTTTTTTTCGCAGAAAATTATGCATATGAAAATTAATATAGTTTGTTTTTACAATAAACCTCAATTGTTTGATTGGCGGAATTGGCATATGAGATACTATATGACTGAACAGTTTTGAATGTAGGACATTTAAAACAAAAAAAGTCAAATTCATTCAAAATTTTATAAAATTCTATTGTTCCCTTAAAACACAGAGTTTTTACTAGTCACCCATTCATATTCTTGTTGACATAGACATTTTAACATTTACCAACACTGGTTTTCTCAAACAAACACCAAAGTAGTTGGTAATCGCCATAGTACTCTCTCTCTCCCTTTGACAACCTCTCTCACAACACTCATTTGACAAGCAACACATAATCAACGAGCGCCTGTCATTTTATAACGAAAATTTTATCGACGCGAACAACTTGTAAAACACTACTGCTGCTGGCTTTGTTGCTGATATTCACATCGAAATAAAACGCGATAAATAACGAAAAGAAAACAAAATAACACATAATAATTTATACAAGAAATGGAAATTTGTAGTTTTTGCAAAGTGGTTGTGTGGAAAAGATAATAACTTGCCAATGAAAACGGAAATAAATGCAAAGCACAACGCCCCTCTTCAAATGATGATCGTTTTGTGTGTGCAGAGAATGTAAAAATAGAAGCAAAATAACAAAATTAAAGGAAATTTCCTGTCATCACAAAAATGAAAATCACATTGTGTTCTATGTAGAAAAAAACATATTTAAATGATTTCATATGGAAAACATTTCAAAAAGAGAAAAAAAATAATTGAAAAAAAAAATACATATTTGTCAGACTGTTTTTATATTTTTTACTCTCTCTCTGTCTCACAAATTGTTTGAAGGAGAGAGCCCACCACTGAGTGTATGTGTAAATTGTTAAGCTCTTTGCCAGACAAAATAGCTGTTGTAAAAAAACACACCACACAACGAAAAGACTGGCTGGAACTTGTTGCTTCATTCAGTATTTTTACGTGAAGCTATAAACGTTTTTTCTTTGGTTTTCGCGTTTTGCTAACGAATCAGCCACTCTCGCACACAAACACACATACGCGGCCACACATAATCTGCTGTGGGCTTTGGTGGCTGGCCGGATAATTTGACCTTTAATTTTTCCGTTGAATATTTCCGAAGGAAAATCATTGTGGAAGTTCAAAAAATCTGGTGGTTGCGGCCCGGAATAATAACTACATTTTGTTTTAAACATACAAAAAAGTGAGTAGTCGAAGGATACTGTGCAAAAAAGGGGATGGTAATGATCTTTTATTTGATCTTCTCCATCCCTAAGAGTTGGAGTGTGTTTTTCAAACAAAAAGAAACCAAAAAAACTACATACCTTTTGAAATATCTTAAATTTTGTAGTTGTCGAAAAAAAACCAAAAGTATAATAAAAAAATTTCACTTTATTACTTCACACTACGGTTGGCTGCTGCTTAAAATAATGTCATAATTTCCAAGTGGTTGTGTGTATGTGCTTTGGTATTTGTTGTTGCTGCTGCTGCTTTGTTAATTCCATTAAAATAAACACTCACTCTCCGACTGATAAAATAACCAATGGAAAGAGAGTGAGATATGTGGAGAGTACATGGGTTTTAATTTATTGAGCATTTTTGCTGAGTTAATAAAAAAAACACAAAAGCCAATGACCATTATTTTTGTCTCGAAAATGATTAGCAACAAAATAAAATATATCTGTTTTCATTTATTCTCCAAAAGATCGTCCATCAAACCATAAAGAACTTCAATGCAGTGTTGTATTTCGCTCTTGTCAGATTTTTGCAAAAAAGTGATGCCACACTATTGCCAACCAGAAAACGGCTTAAAACACATCCCTTGCTTTTGATGATTTGAATATTTGTACATGTTTCCAGAAGGAAAGGCCGCCAGGTTTATAATAAATATAACCACTTGCTTATCATGCCTTTGGTAAATATAAATTTTCGCTACGTCAGGCCGATACAAATTATCACTATTCCAGCAATAATATCAAAGCAATGATAAGAAAACCCGTCATAAATGTATGCGGTTTGGCTAAATTCCAAAGTGACTGCTAATACAAGTGGTTATTTTGTATATATATTTTATTTTCGTATTGTATGTACGTACATACGAACATGTATAGTGAGTCTGCTGTGGTAGTTTGTTTTTATTAGCCTAAGCTTTGTTGTCCATTTGTGACAACTATAAATACATTGAGCTTTTTTTAATTGTTAATAATTGTCCATGTAATCTAGTTTTTAATTACGTTTCTTTTTATCTTGTTCTTGATGTGAGCTATATTTTGCCTAAAGGTCGCTTATTTATGGTTTTCTACTATGGAAATATATTTGATAATTCAATGCCACCATTCATTCCTTGATTAATGGATAATAAAATCTTTGATAGATCTTCTCTAAGATTTCTAAAAATTGGCATGCCATAAATAACATATGTGGTATCTCCTCTTCATCATGTTGTGTTCTTTTATTAATGTTTATTGTTTACTTTGCAAAGTGTTAATACCTAAGGTAAATCGAAATTGAGGGATTATAAGGTGTGCATGATTTCGATTAGATTTTTTTTATTAACTATATTTTTTGTGTTTTCATTTGAGTTAACTATCTGCAAAATGTTTGCATTTGTTCACTTGATGAACCTTGACTCTAGGAAAAGTGGTGAGATTTTACTGTTGAATATGAGCGCTTCCCCTTGGGCTCTTAATAGTTTCTATTAAAATTTCTTACTTTCTCTCTTAGCCCTTAAAGCAAGGCACCCATAGGGAAAGTGTGCTAATCAATTGTCGCCCTCAACTAAAAAATATTTGTTTTATATATTTTATCTTGTCGACACTTAAGTCATTTTTTGTTTGTTTGTTTCCTCCTCTCTACACAAAAATCACATTCACTCATTATTATTTAGGCGAACGGCAGGTTTGGGACAGATGGACAGTAGAATAACAACTGTGACTCATTCATGCATCATTTGGCCAAGTTGAAATGAAATACATAAAAAAAAACAAATTCTCTCTGTTCTGTTCCTCCGATCACACAATGCTTAAAGCTACAATTCCAAAACGACAAATGTTGCTGCTGCCGCCGCTCCTCTTCGTAGTTTTATAATTGTTTAAAACTTAGCACATACGTACACACAACCGCACATCGACAACAATAAATTCTCGGGTTTTTTGTTTGTATTTAAATATAAATCAGATATTAACAAAATGTGAATGCACAATCCAAATTGACAAAAAGCTAACTTGGGATGAGTAATTCATCACTTTGAGCAAAAAAAAAAAAGAAATAAACAATGACACCCATCCATGTATCTTTGGGGGGGGGGGGGGTAGTCCTTCAGACTATTCCCCTACCTAGAAATAAATTTATGTCCAATATTAAATAATTTTGCTTGGCAATGCATTGAACTTTCCCATAAACAACGAAATAATAATAAATATTAAACGGAAATATTTCCGGTGAAATTTGCAGTCACCCAGTTTCTCATAACGCTTTCTTTTTGTGTAAAAATCAAAAACCAAACACCTCCAACTCTTAATGCACAATGCAAGCTTTGTTATTCAATTTGAGAAAAACAGTCAAAAATGAATTTTAATTTTTACAGTTCTGTGTGTGTGTGGATTGTAAAAATACCAACTTGTACCTTAAAATATGGACACAAATTATGGTGTTACCTATGCCGTGGAATTGGCACCACTAAAGCCAACGGATAACACAAATGATAACTCCAACAACAACCAGCAGCAGGGAGAAGATGAGACCACTGCAGCCAATTCCCCACCCACAACACCCAAGACAAATACAACAACGACCAGATATCTAACAACTGCCAATTCAACAGTGATCAAACCCTTACCCGCTTCGGACAATGAAGAAAGTCCTCGCACACCATCACCCAGTAATTCTCAAAATCCTCGACCCTCCACCTCTCGACAATTGTTTAGGGAAGCAGCCAGTGCCCATGGAGGTCAAGAGACCAACTCATTGCTACAACACGAAATCGCTCAGCAACAGAAATTCAAAAGTGCAGCCTCTACGCTGGACAAGAGCATATCCCGCAATCCATCCACAGTGGCAAAACACGAAAAGAAAATTGGCCATCGTCGTGTTGATGAGGAGGGTGAAGTTACTTACAAGAAGATCCAAAGTAAACAGATTATGGGTTCCATTCAGCTGGGCATACAACATACCGTTGGTAGTTTGGCCTCCAAGCCTAAACGTGATTTGCTTATGAATGATTTCTTTGAAATGGAAACGATTTCCTTCCCACCCGATGGCTCGTCCATAACACCGGCCCATCACTACAGTGAATTCCGTTTCAAGGTATTTGCTCCCATTGCCTTTCGTTACTTCAGGGATTTGTTTGGCATTGCTCCCGATGATTTCCTAATGTCCATGTGTGCAGCCCCACTGCGTCAACTCTCGAATCCCGGTGCCTCTGGCTCCATATTTTACCTAACCGACGATGATGAATTCATTATCAAGACTGTACAGAAAAAGGAATGTGAATTTTTACAGAAACTTTTGCCCGGCTACTATATGAACCTTTCTCAAAATCCTCGAACCCTGCTGCCGAAATTCTTTGGCCTCTATTGTTTCCACTACAACACAAAAAATGTTCGCCTCGTGGCCATGAACAATCTTCTGCCCTCCGATATTAAAATGCATGCCAAGTATGACTTGAAAGGCTCTACATTCCGTCGTAAAGCTTCAAAGGCAGAACGGCAAAAAGAAAGTCCCACCTATAAGGATTTAGATTTCATGGAACATCATCCGAATGGTATATTTCTCGAAACAGATAAATATAATGCATTGATGAAGACCATACAAAGGGATTGTATGGTTCTGGAAAGTTTCCAAATTATGGATTATTCCTTATTGGTGGGTATTCACAATTTGGATCTAGCAGCAAAGGAGAAACGCGAAGAGCGCATACGAAATGCTAGGGCTAAATTGCAGAAAACCGATGAAATTCGTGAGGCCGATGATGCGGAAAATGAGGGTGCAGCTGCAGCGGCTGGTACCGCTTTGAATCGTTCACGCAGCATGAATCGTCAACGCTTGGTGGCCCTATCGACAGCCATGGAATCGATAACAGCCGATGATACACCCTTTGAGGAGGATGAGGATGTGCCGGCCGGCGGTATACCTGCCCGCTCGGAAGACGATGAACGTCTCATATTATACATTGGTATAATTGATATTCTGCAATCGTATCGCTTGGAAAAGAAACTCGAACACACCTTCAAGGCCATTATCTATAACGGTGACACTGTATCTGTGTGTCGTCCATCATTTTATGCCCAACGTTTCCAAAACTTCATGGGTAAAACTGTATTTAAGAAAACGCCTACATTTCCACTGAGACAATCGAAGAGGAAAACTTCTACGGCTGCAGTGCGTACACCACAAAGAACACCTTCACAAAGTGCAGCCAGTGGGGTAACGGCCGCAGCCATGAGACACCCTCATTTTATGTCGGGCTCCTCAACACCACCACCAGCATTTGATGAAATATCCGAAGAAGATATAATTGCTGCATCGGGTTCAAGAGGCGGAGGCATTGGATCGTCAGGGCATTTGAGGCATATACCTCCACCTCAATCCTATATGTCATCGCAACGCAGTACTGTGGGTAGTACTACCGACGACTACAGTGATGATGATGTAGCCTCGACAGCGGGTAGCAACAGATCATCGCTGCCACGACGCCGGCCGCAATATTTAACAAAGACTAGCGTCGAAATAACATCAATTGGTTGTGTAGATAATCACCAACAACCCGATCATAAGCAATCTGATGAGGGTATTGAGCAAGATGTTGAGGGCAAAAAGGTGGTTAGTGCTGTCATACAAACTACGCAGGAAAAGAAATACACATCCACCCTTATTGTTAATGAAGTTGTAAGATGATGTGCTGCCGCGCCGGGTAGATTGTAAGACAAAATGGAATTTAAGTGTAAATTGTAGCGATTTGCTTAGTACCACCACCGTCCGCCGCCATAGCAATTAATACAAAATTTGCTCAACATCTCTACAACTACTTCTGTGGCCAATTGAAGTTTGAGCCGGTGGTGTCTCGGCAAAGGGGTTTCAAGTAAAAATCAAAGAAGTGCTCTTCAATATGTAGAACCAGAATTCTATGGCAACAACCACAGCATAGCTTTAGTACTGCGTAATAATTCACAACTACTACTTCCACCACTGCAACCATGTTATCCAGCAAACTATTACAAAACAACTATAATTATTAGAAACTAACTTTACAAGGACGTAAAATTTTTATGTTTATATCAATATTATTCCTCTCGTCCTCTTCTTCCTTCTATTTTTTATTATTATCATATCTATATATATTCTTTGTATTATTTATTCTATGTTTATTTTTCTGTATGTACTCTACGTATCCCCCCGATGATGAATAATGAGCCAAGCGGAAGAAGAAAGGAAGGATGATGTAGTAGCATACATTTGTTTTTCTGTATTATGTACTAGTTTTCATTCACTTTCAATTTAAAGCAAAACAAAATATTATGATTTGTTAAATATTAAACCTTTTTATATAAACATCTGTCTGTCTATTAAAAAAAATGCAAACCGCTCTGCAGTATTTTTTGCTTAATTTAAAGCCTTAGTTTTATTTTCCATAACTCTTTTTTGTGCAGAATTATTCTAGAGATTTCATTGTTGTTCAATTCAATGCTAACAAATAAACACACACATATTTCCATAGCCTGCAAAAATATTTATAGACAATAGCTTAGTTTAAAAAAAAGTGATTTTATTTAATTTTCTACGAAAAACTAGTTTTTGGTGATTTTTCTGTGCTTCTTTAACGTTTGTTCTGTTTTATTTAAATTTAAGTAGTATGAAAATGGGATGTTTTTATATACTTGTATGTAAAGAAAAAAACTACTATATAAATATGATGCAATTTTAAGCGTATTACACAAATACCTTTTTTTTAAATTGATTCGAAAGAAATGTGTATACGAACTAAACAAACAAGCAAATATATATGAAACTAATCAAATTACGTACTGTGTATTAAATACTAATAGTTATAAATTCTATTCTAGGTTTTTTATATAGTATGTATATTTAATTAAATAAAAAAACTATAAAAAAATTAACTTAGCAAACAAATGAATGAGGTTTTTTAATTGTTAAATATGTAGCATACTTTAGGGGGTTTTATAATCAAATCATTTGCCTCCTCTGTAAATATTTTATATGTAGCATATAGGCCTTATACCTTATAGGTAAGAAATTATGAAACTGTTCTGATATGGAGATGATGAAGTTAGGCTTTTACTTGAGAAGCAATTGGTTGCTATGCTTTACTGTGAAATTATATGATTTAATGTTTTGGACGTAATTTTTTCCTTTATGAAAGGTGATAATTTAATAATTCAATATTTTGAATTCAAAAAAAGTTATTGGATTTTTGTTTACATTTATTACCGATATGTGGTCCAAGAAGATCAGGCTGAAAAGATGCCAGATTAATATTAGAAAGAGGTTACATTTACTTCAACAAAAAAAAAAAAAAAAAAAAAAAAAAAAAACGTATAATTATAAGGGTGTTAGTCTTCTATCCATCCTTCATAAAATTTTTGTCTAAACCATCACTCCTCCGTTTCACCTAAAATCTCTCCCCTCATTTCCATTACTTTGACATTTCTTTCCTTATCTTTCTTCACAATTATCATATTTCCATAGTTACTCATTGCTTTCCTCTTAAATTTGCTTACAGTGTTTCTTAGACAGCAACAGACAACAGCACACTATGGCTTTCCAACGGAGCTACAGCAAGGTATGGTGGGGATCAGACAATCAATATGCCACAATAAGTGGCGCTACCATGAATCCTGCCATCCACCAAATGCTTACCACTTCAAACAGTGGCAGCATAACAAGTGGCGGTTTATATTCGTATTATAGTCAACCCGCCCAGCAACAGCCACAAAAAGCTCAGCCAATGAAGCAACAACCACAGTATCAACCATTTGGTGGAAGCACATATCATTCATTGGATTTACATCAGTACAAAGCATATGGAAATTTATCACGCATCCAGGAAGTGGAAGATGAAAATAATATATCAAAACTATCTTGGGAGAAACATGATAGCCCTGGCAGTTTGAGGTCACAGGTAAGTTACATTTTACAAAACCTTTTTTCTAACGGAAATAAATTCAAAAATCCTTTTTTTTCCAATTTCAGGATTCTGGATTTTCAGATAATGAAGAATTCCACAATACACGCAGTTTAAGTGGTCGTTCATCGAAAACGTCATCGCCAAGCAGTAAATCCATGGCAAGTTCAAAAACGGACATGGGTTCCCCTTCATCCACCAGAACAGTGGAGACACCACCCACGGTGGTAAGACGTCCTGCACGTTCTGATTATTACACCTCTTTGGTAAATGTTTCCAGACGTATTTCATTTCCAACCTCTCCATTGGCCAACAATAGGCAAGAGCACAGTGAAAATAGTCACTATGGTGAAGAGGTGGAAGAAGGTCCTTCTCTAATGGAAAAATTAGATAGTATGCAGTTAATGAATGAATCGCCTGTAACGCAACCCTCGCACTTCAATGATTCCTTCAACAGCAGCCACAGTAGTTGTGATGCCACTACTCCAATCAGAGGCAACAATCCTCGCATAAAGAAACGTCGCAAGGTACAACGTAAGGCAACAGCGCCCCTAACACCAACACAACGACGTTATCAAAAATATGAAGATGAAGAGGCGGAGGCAGAGCAAGAAAGTGATTTAGAGGAATCTCGTAAAGCCATTCCCGAATACAACAATGAAACAGTATATTTGGGTGGAGCACCACCAACATGTTCCACTCCTCCACCTCCATACAACAATGAAACTGTAATACTAGGTGGACCTTTGGATGATTCACAAACAACAAGTCCAAACAACACCCTCAGATTCGATATGCATGGTGTATCACCTTTAAGATTGCAAGATAGGTTCAGTGGCCACACCAGCACTCCTAAAATACAAAAAGGCTTCTCGCTTGGCTGCACCTTGCCGCCCATGATGGATTGCCATGAATATGACAATACCCTACTGAATGGTCACAGCCCAGATGTTCAACATTGGCTTGATGATTTACGTATGTCTTATGACCATGAGGTTATGTCGACACTGCAAACCAAATCCATAGCCCAAGAAGCCATCAAGAATCTGCAAATTACAACGAGTACTGTTGCCAAATTTATTCGTCAATTGCAACAAAAAGCCCTGAGGATGCAAAACTGTTTTGAGAAAACCGAACGTCTGCTAAGCGAAGAGGCCATTACACCTCTGGAGGCCATAAATGGAGCTTTACATTTGTTGGATAACATTAACGAATTCACTTATATACTGGAACGAAGGGTTGTATTCTTTGCCGACTCACGCATGGAACGTAAACGCTATGAAGACTATCTCGATCAAATTCGAATGGTCCATAAGGACACCCGTTACTCTTTGGAGAATCATCACTACATCAATCTTGAATCTTTGCTCGAAGATTTGCAAGTTTTGAAACGTATATTGTTAATCAGCGTAAGACAGGTCTATGAGAAATTGGTGAGAATTCTAATACAAAGTATTGAGAATGGTCGTTGCGATCTAATGCTGAAAGCCAATTTGAATATGGTGGCCACTTTAATGAACATTGATTACGATGGTTTTGCCTCACTCACCGATGCATTTGTACAAACTGAAGCGGTACGCACTCTATTGGTAGTGTGTTTGGATAATAAACTGAGCTCGGTGAGAGCTCAAGCCCTGAGAGCATTGGCTACCATTTGTTGTGCTCCAGAACCGATATTTCAGCTCGGCCATTGTGGGGGCATAGAAGTGATAAGAGATATTTTACAAATTGAAGGAGGGGATGCTAACAAGAAACCCAAAGAAAACGAGGTGAAACGTAGCGATCTGGAAAGAAGAGAAGCTGTATCGCTGTTAACACAAATCACAGCGGCTTGGCATGGACCAGAACATCGGGTAGATGGACTTAAGGACTGTGTGGAAACAGTCGTTGAGGGTCTAACACGTTTGCTTGTCTTTACTGAATGTCCCCAGACATTGCTGTTGTGTGCTGCAGCATTGAATAATTTGTCACGCATGGAAATTACATCACACTATTCGATCATGTCGCATGAGACTATATACAAACTTGTCGAAACCATGGAGCGCAGAGACGAGGGCATAACCGTATTCCTTTATGTAAGTATTTTTAAATTTCTTTTGTTAATTTATAAAATCCTGTGAAATATCGAACTAACAACAACAGCTCAAATCCATCTATCTCACCAGTTTTGATTTGTGGGAATGAACTAATGCATTCTGCAATTTTGTAAAAAGTTTGTTTTCTATCCTTCCCGTATATGTGAACTGCATAAAATGTTGCAAAAGTGTGTTTTTATCTGTCTGACATCCTTCGATGGATGCTAAGGCAAACGTTAACCAAGCGAAACTCAATCGTGTTTGAAATTTCAAGGTTTACATGATAGAACAAGTATCCGTTACATAAAACTCATAAAATTTATTTCTACATTTGTAAAACAATTTTTCTCAAAGCTTTGGCACGTTTCTTACCAACGCTTTGCTGCTTGGGCCCGGCACGCTTTTTCAGCATGTCGAGAAGATAGTTAAAATTGAATTTTTCTTCAACTTGTATGGAACATACGCCAACAGCAGGGCAGATGGATGGACTTTGAACATTTTACACCCACACTAACGTTGCATTCTTTCAGTAGTCTACCTAGTCTTATTGATATACTTCCATTGAATGGTTACTAACTTATTTTTCCCACATCTTCTGCTTCTTACAGGAACAAATCGTTGCCATGCTCTACAATATGTCATTGAATAAGAAATGCCACAGCCATTTGGCCAATGCTAATATCGTGAATTTCATCACGTACGCATACCAAACGGAATTCTATAAAATCTACAGCACACGTGGCGAAAGCGAAGCCCAGCAACGTTGTATCAAAACAATTTTGCATACATTGACACGTCTGGCCCAGGACTCGGTGCTGGGCATGGAATTGCTCACACAACAGAATCATCTGCCATCAGCTTTCTTCTTTAGTCTGACACCGAACACCACAAGCAGCACGGCGACGGATACCCAGCGTTCACCTGAATTCTATGAACAGCAACAAATGCTACCGTTGGATATCAGTACCAGCAGGGATATTTCATTTCTAGCCCGTCAATTATCCGAACACCAGCAACAGCGGCATCATCATCAATACCCCGGGTTCAAGGAAAACAATGAACTTAACATGGAACCCAAAGAATACGGAGGAAATACATTGAAAATGCAGCTACAGCGTCAGGAAAGTTATGTGTAACTACATACAAGCATAAATAAAAGGAAGCCGAAAGGAAAACCTTACAGGCCGGTAATAGCAGAGCCTGTCTACGAACACCTTAGCTCTTGAACGAAGCATATTTTTCTTCCTCATCTTCTGAGTCAAGTGCTGCTACAAAGCAATAAACAATAGAAGAACGCCTAAGATTTTGTTTGGTAAACACAACACGCCACAAAGGGCAACGACAACGACGAACGACGACGACGAGTGTACCCAGCCGGGAAGAGATGTCACGTTTGCAGGGCAGCCACGTTTAATCTGCTCTCAGTCAAACGTGCATAAACGTCATAGAGGAACTTCAGCAAACAGCCGATGTACTTTTCATTGTTTTTCGCAAGCAGTCACCCAGCAGCCAGCCTGTAAGCCAACAAAAACAAAATCACCTCCTGCAAGCATTTAAGGTTCAATTACATCTGAAGAGGAAAAAGTTTACAAACGTAGACTCTAGTTTAAAATAAGTAAACGTTACACATTTAAATGCTAAGAGGCGTGTTTAAATAATGTCGAATAATTTAAAGACAAAAATAACCAACCATAATTTTTCAAAGAATTTATCCATTTATTCACATGCAATAAATGTGTTTAAGTTCTACATAAAAAAAGAAAAAACAAATAATTTTTAAGAAAAATTATAAATGTTAGTTTATACAACAAAAATGTAGTCATGCTGTGCCAAAAAGTGTAGGATAGTTTTTAAGAAACCCAACGCCCCCCATTGAAGTTTTCTGTGTCTTGTAAATAACCAAAAATTGTATTGTAGGTAAAAATAATGAACCAAATATTGTGTTAAACCAAGGTATATTGTAGGGTAGGTATGTAATTATAAAAATAAGTAATACCTAATAAATAAAATAAATGTACATAAAACGAAAAATTGTTAAATGTTGTGTTTTTATTTAAATAAGGAAGGTTGTCGCTATAAATATAAACACAAAATTCCAATTGGTAATAAAAACTCATAAGATAAGGCTATCGGATCATTTTGAAATTTTTACCACAGTTGGGCATTTTTAACCTGATTAAGGGAAAGTAATTTTTCGTGGAGAAAATTCCCGGCTACCCGGTTATTTGACCCGAAAGTTATCTTTAAAATGGATATCATTTGAAAGCTTATGGGGATACCGATCCAACAAGTGGTCATATGATATGATGGGAGGAAAAAATCTCAATTTCACGATTTGCAACACTAATATCTTCGGAACTACAAGATATATCAAAACATATGTCATCATTTTGGAAAGGCCAGAGTGTAGGCTACAATGTGGTATGCAGATTTTAATACCCCATAAGCAGGATTTTTCGGCTTTTTATGGGTTTTTCAAAAAGTTCCGGTACAAAAATACCAAATTTCTTGTATTACTCCGGAACTGATTGAAACCAAACTTTATATGACCACATATTGGATAGATATTTCCATAAGCTTTCAAAGGATACCCATTTTGTACTTTTCAATTTTGTAGATCCAGATAAAACCAGAAATTTGTATCCGAACCTGCGGGTAGAATAAACGGGTATTTCACCACACAAAAAATCACTTTGCCGTAATCAGGATAAAAAGACCTACAAGTGGTAAAATTTCCAAAAAAAAATCAATCCAAGCATAGCCCTTAAAGTCAATTTAAGCCCCGGATACTTACCGAAAGGACGACGCGTGCACTTTGGTTATGTTATATGTTGACTTGGACGTAATTCTAATTGGAAAACATATTATAGGTCACAATATTCACATTTCACACCCTTTGGACATGCTTTGACACAGCTATTTTAATTCAGTGCAGCGTCCACGACAAGAAACCGATATTAATACGCGAAATAAAACAAAATCGAACGCACCAAAATGTTTGACAATGTCATTGCATTTTATGAGACTCATGGGAGAGCAAATTATACTCTTCTCAGCGGAAATTTGTGCATCGACACGAAAAAAGGCGCACATGAAGAAGAAGCACAATGAATAGGACAGAAGGGAAAATTGTTTTCTATTTATTAACAATTGCAAATCGATTTTCTTCCATAATTATTATATTTCTACGATTTTAGATATTACACAATTTGTTTAAAAACAATTTTGAAACTATATTTTTTCTATTTTTTTCCATAACACCATTTATTGACACAAACCGAACCGTATTGACACGAACGAACGAACCGAAAGAGGGACAGCACTTCCTTTCATCGAAAAACTGCATTTATTGATTATGTTTAACTATATTAAATTGTAAATTATCGTTACACATGTTCCACTTGCATGAAAGAATCACAATTTATAGCACAAACTTCGAAAGACTACTTAAATTTCGTGTCTTATTAGTTTTTCTTAAGCCCTCTAAACGAAACGACCGGACGCGCTCGAATTTCCCTCGTAAACTAAATAAAATTTGCACTACGGTAGAGTTGCCAATATACTTCTTAAATAATGTGATTTCAGCCTAAAACAATTTCCAACACTGTTTATACAATTAAGTGATGCCCAGAGGCGGAAGAAGAAGTGTAGCAATAAATTGAGAAGATAGCTTTTTGCGGAAAACGTTTCTTCGTTCGCTTTTTATCTTGACTGTTTTCGGATAATGCACATACGAAACATTACTACAAAAGTAGTAGAAAAGTTTGATTGGAAGAGCGTTCAACACGAATTTTCAAAAAAAAAAAAAAAAAAAAAAACTAACGAAACGCAATAAGGTTTTAATTGCAACGGTATTCTAATTAGAATCCAACCCAAATGGTACTGGTAAAATTCCCCATTTAGGACAAAAAATTGATATGATGCAGAATTAGAAAGGTAAAGTCGTGCGGTCAAATTATTAGTTTGACAACATCTCGTTGTCAAACTATATATTTATATATCCGTTAAATATTCTCAAATCAGAAGTGGAAACCAGCCATGGTATAATGAAATAATGGTAATCTCATTTCAAATTAGCATTCACAGCAATGAGTATGATCGAGTAGGCTTGATCACACACAGTGGAAATACAATCAAACTCAATCAGTCGGTCAGATGCAACATGTTCATTCGAGTTACTCAAGCCAAACGAAAAAGTTGTGATCAAACATGTATTGATCGAAGTTTTGTGATCGCAATCAAACAGCTCACATGAGTTATTTGTTTACGAACTTATGTTGAATTGTTCATAACGGGTCGATCATCTATGAGGAGTCTTGTCGGTTTGATTCATCCCAGTTAAGTGAGTGATTTGATTTGATTAAAACACAAATGTTCGAAACTGAGCGAAATCATGATTGTAATTTTACAAAGGATTTCATAAACAATGTTTTCGTTTTATTTGGTTTTTTGGTGTGTTAGACTTCAGTGACTTATTTGAAAAAAAAAAAAACAAAATTAAATTTTTTAATAAAGAAACACATCATTGGTATTTAGAAAACTAAAAATGTTTAAATATTTTTTTTATTTTACAATATTGGTCAAGATTTTTCACAAACTTCGACCTCTTCGTTTACCTACACCTGTGTAGTTTCTACTTGCAACAATTTCGTTCGCACTATCACAATATTCTTCCAAATTCAAATATTAAAAAAGTCAAAATAAACTGTCCTAACTTGATTAAATGGTTGAATAAACACTGACGCTGAGCGAACTCGATTCAAAGAAGACAATCACGGTTGTGATTGCTCATTTACATTCATGTGTTCGATCAACTCACGTTGCTGAACACATCAAACCGTCTCGAACGCTCATGTTTGATTGTGAGTGAAGTGATTCAAACTGAGCGTTCGATTCGATCCGAAGCGAAAACGGTCATTTCATTCAGATCAAACTAAACGACTGCATCAACAAAAATCAGGTAAGAAACCGAGTATGCTTGAATTTTTGCATACTCGTTGCAGCCCTCTGATTCACAGCTCTGCATTTTCTGTATTTTACCTTGTCTAATTGCAATGCACAAAAAGCAGTTCCCATCTCTGATTTTGTGTTTATACAATGGATTTATGAATATAGAGTTTGACAATGAGATGTTGTCAAACGAATAATTTTGAAAAAATTGTAAACACATTACCTAAACACTTTACCTTTTTGATTCTACCATGAGAATATGTTTAGATGGATATTCCCTGACTCAATAAGAATGGTTGCTCAACTTCTAAGAAACCAGGAAAATGCAACTCTGTATCGGAGTCTTATAGTGTCAAATAGACTTTTAAACATGCATCAATCGGCTTTGTTTATTTTACTTTTTTTTACAAAATTACTTTATACATACATAATATTTGGTTTCTCCACAAAATGAAATCTAAGAAAGAGGGACAATATTGTTTTATTCCAAAACTATACAGAAGAATACAGGTAGATGCATCAACGCTTTGGGAACATTGGTATGTCAAAACAATTCTAAATGTTTCTTCAAAAATAAGTAGATTTGCATATGTTTTCCTACACGACGCTAATCGGCGGTTGTTATGTTTTTCATTTTTTAAATTTTTTTACAAATTTGAATAATTTTTCATTCAAAAATTTCCATTCTAAAATTGGTTTGACAGTTCAGTGTCCCAGCAGCTGTGTGGAAATTTGAATTTCTGTTGTCTCTAAATTTGAAAGGAGGTAGAACAGCTTCGCAAAACTACAGAAATACAGCCCTGAGACTTTGCATGCTTCCTGTCAGAATTATTCAAAATTATATGCCATATGTTTTTTTCATTTATTTGATATTTTTTTCATATTAAATTGAGTCAAAAAGCGCGAAAAAATAATGACATGCCAAGATGTTCTCCAAAAATATGATCATAGGTGTTCAATCTTTCAATTCCATGGTAAATCTTTTTAATATAATTAATGTGCGCCCCGCAATTTAAGTTTCTTCCAATCATTGATTTTAAAAATAATAATTTTGTTTCGGCATTGAATTTTAAAATAACAAAATATTCTTCTCCACTTTCTAAATTAATTTTGTAGAAAAAAAAAAACAATATTCCATTTAGGTTCCGGCTTTTGTAAAGGAAGGATTTTAGTGCTTTCTGTCTACTGTAATCTATCACAAAATTGATGGGATTCTTGTAGGAAATGTAAATTCTGGAAACACTCAATAAAATGGTATTTTTTGTCCTAATTCCACATTCGGTCAAATGGAATTTGTAGCCTTAAAATATTTGACTAAAGTTTTCAACACCAGATTTCAATAAAAGTTCTTGAATTCTCAATTGATACAATTAAAAATGTCGAACAATACATCTGCATACATTTTGAGGTAAAGATCAAGCTACATCAATAATACACATTTTTAACAAAATGTTTTTTTTTTGTTTATAATATATTGTGTAAATCTAAAATGAACAATTGATGATTGTACGAATAACGACTATCTGAACATGGCATAATTGCAAACTTATCACCACGATTTTTTTTCAAACATGGTAACTCTACTGAATCAAACTTCAGTTGAGTTCGGGAAATTAATACGAGTAAATGTCGACAAGTGAAATGTGGAAAAATGTTGTAAAAAAGGAATTAAAAATTACATATAATCACATAAATGTTGAAAACATATCATAATATGTTCTTTAAGTATGCTCATAAGTGGACATAATAAAGTTAAACGTGTGAAAGTGTTGCAGCAAAATGGATCTATGGATGCCCTTGATACGCTTACTTGGTAGCGTACTTCCTTGTTCGGTGAAGTGAAGAATAATGCAAATGTTGAATGATTCGCGGCTTGTGGAGTGTTTCTGTTAAAAAATTGTAACCATTCTTTGTTTTTTATAGCAAAATCATAAATTGGCAATTCATTTCATTTATCGTCTCTCTTCTTCATTACGAAGTAAGGGTCGTCATCTAAAGATGTGTGATAACAAAGTGTTGGAAAGTAGCTCCATATTTCATTCATTCATTTAAGCATGGCAATACTAGCCGAGAAAACTTTAGTTGCATT